TTTTTTATTGTAAGGTTACAATGCAATAAATTCACTTTCAAGGGGCACATAAAAGCTAAGGCTTTTGCTAATCTTTTAAGCATTTTAAAGCGATTTAACATCACTTGATTTTAACATCTCAGCCTTTTCATAACCTTGAGGATGCAAATAACATAGGTTTCCATTTCTTTATCAAGTAAACAGTGAAAAATTACCAGAAAGTAGACATGCATATTTCTTTCATTTGTAAAACTGCATATATAGTGTTGCTGTTAAAGATTGTGGTTTTTAAATTATCCTCTTTAAACATCTGTTTTAAGCCTTTCACAAATCTTTTCAGCTCCTCAGTTCACTCGGGTACACTCTTAACACATTTCACACATTTGCCAAAGTATTTGGAGAACCTGACTGCTGAACAGAATAGGACTTTTAAAAGAATTCAAATGCAGGAAAGCTACTTAAAGTATAGGGAATCATTATTCTCTTATATGCATTTGGTGCTTTTTCCAAAGTTAATCTGTGCCCTAAAGTGATCAAACAGCTGATTTATCCAACAGCTGACATCAGCCAAGGAGAAATACGGATTATATGTGGTGTGACAGAAACTGGAAAACTGAGAAACCAAAACTAGATCTTCCGGTCTTTATTATTCTAGGTAAGGGTTCAAAAATTGAACGACTCACAGGTAAGTTTATACTTAACGTCGAGAAAAAGATTCTTTGAAACTGCATTAATTATAAAATTTGGACCATGTTAATTAAAGTTGCTTTGTGAGAGTGGATATTTCTAAAATCATCTTACGCACTGTTTAGATCCATCGTAACTTGCTACTAGCAGTCCCTGTCTTGGCTTGTTGTTGCCATCTGCAATTAAGCAAAACATGAGAAATATCTAATTTTTAAGGTTAATTATGAGCAAAGAAAGTGGAGATGAAATTTAAAGTGTATATTTTTTCCATAATATTTTTTTTTACTAAACACACCCAATTCAAAGTAACCAGGTAAGCATATGCACAACCCAAAATCTCATGCTCTTAGCTCTGGTTCATGTAAGTTAATATTTTATGCACAAAACTCTGGATGAGCATAGAAGCTCTAGCCATTTCCTGTTCAAACCTTCTGTTTGTGAGGGGCAGCCAATCAGGAAAAAAAGCTAGCCCCTAAGACCTGAACTCTTCCACGACATGCATTTTTAATTTCTCTTTGATATTTGGGCATATTGGGGCCCGATGAATGTAAAAACAAAGAATTACCAGATTTTAATTTTTTTTAACCTTATTTTTGTTTTTAAGAAAAGAGCAATTTTGATAGAACAGTAGCAGTATGTCCTCATAAGTGGATATCAGGCCCATGTAGAGCAAAATTGAGTATTTTAGTCTAAATAACCCAAAATGTGTTGTCCACATATGTGGACGCCAGGTCCTAGGAGGTTAAAGGAGGGGGACAGGACAGAATTGTTTTAAGTTGAATAATAAAGTCAGTAAAAGTCCAAGAATAAAAAAAATATATATATATATGGACTTGCAACAGGATACAGATGGATCTGCACACCACCTGTGTGACTAAAGTCGTGAGCAGACTCACTGTAAGGTCACAAACGTTGATGAATCACTGTTAACGTTTAACTGAAAACTTATTTAAGCCTGTGCAGCTCACATATTAACATCAATGATGGCTCACTTGCAGCCTAACAAAAGCAGACCAGAGGTGAGTGCAAGGGCCCTAAAATAGTCAAAACTTAAAGGAATTCAGCCTTTAATATTTTTGGTTTTGCCTGAGCTTTCTCGGCTACAGCATATCAAAATATTTGAGTCTAGTTTGGTTTTGTCATAATTGACCAAAAAAAAGCTTGATGTCAACTGTCCAAATACTCTGGCAAACTCTGTTAAATTCTCCTCCTTCTAAGATAGTCGTTAAAGCCTAACTGTATTTTCCCCATTCCATTTAAACATTCTCATAAGCGTGGAAATGAGTGCACACACATACATACACGCGCACACACATAGACACACACAATGAAAGAAAAGCATCTCATCAATTTGTGGTATCAACAAACAACTGAGCACAAATGGAACTACTGAACCATACAAAACATCACATAGTTTCAGTACTGGTTTTACAACGCTTCATTGTGGTGCAAAAAGTGGGAGGAGACACAGTTTTCATGGCATGTCAGATATGTCCACAGCACAGGCGCTTGATACAGTAGGCTGGGGCTCACATATGATTTAAATGTATTTACTTTTTCTTTTTTCTACAGTCTGTTTACCGTGTTAGCGCACAGATATGTGATGGTCCGAAGCTTCGATGTGGTTTCTGCTCTTAGGTGACCACCAGCAACAGGACGGGTGGTGCATGAGTTACTATTAAGCGGCGCCACACGGGACAGGACAGATAGCAAGCCTCACCCCTCCACTGGTACAAAGTCACACACTCAAAGTTTCTACGACACAGTGCTGCAAAGTTTAACCACTGAAACACAGATATGTTTTTTTTTTTTTTTGTCCTCCTAAAAGGCAGAATCTTTGATCTCATGTGCTTTCATGATGTGAATTCCAAAAATATTTAACAAGAAGAAATCTTTATCCCAACATTTCAGCATTCGGTGTGTGCAGTGATCTGTGTGTGAGGGGATGAATCTCCATTCAATTCAAACCCTTATTTTTAACCTCTGCATAAAACAAATGGAAAATATCAAAGATTAGATCAAAACACTAACAGCTACAACATTTACAACAGAATCTGACAAAAAAACTAAACTAAACGGGGCCAAATTCACTGACTGCAGTTGATCAGCGAAGGTCCCAGAGCCCTCTAGCCAGTGTA